CCTGTGTTACGTCACGCGAGCCCCTACGCGAGTTATCCAACGCGCCACGTCAATAAATAATACCGTTAATAAGATTACTATCGAATCAGATATCCTTCCACTTCTGCCCACGCTTTTCGCTCATCGATAGATTTTATTCATCGGATATTACGCGAGAAATAATTGTCTACGGATTTTTCGCTCCCTCCTCTCTCTCCCTCGAAGGTATCCGTATAAAAGGGTAAAATGTGCGGATAAAGAGAAAAAGCGAGGTAGATTATTTTCTCTCTTTCGTCACTCGTAATATCGCGTGACAAAACGTGAGGCGTGACATAATAGCGTGTTCCGTACTTCCGGCGAAAATGGAGAACGCGCTCGCGCAGATTCGTCGCTTCTTCGTCGTTTTCCTAGTCGAACAAGACACTTTCTTTCACCACGTCTCCTAATGCATATAACGCGCTTATCGATCGACGCTTGTCTCGTTCAGGTTTACAAAGGGCCGTTTCACGGTGTACATGTACGAAGCGCGTCGTTACTTCGCGTGAAGCACCTTCGTCGATGACGGATTCCCCTAATCCCCATCCCTTTCTTTATAGGAATTTTCGGGGTGATAGAAAAAAAACAGGGAGTTAAAAATTGTTACGAATTTTTTTTACAATTTTTTGTAGATAAAAGTTCCCATTTTAACAAAGTAAAATGGAGTAATTAAATAAAATGGAGTAATTCAGAAGTCTACAATGATATAGTAATTAATTAAATAACATATTGTATAAATATCATTTCTTTTTTTCCAAGAACCTTTTTAGTAAAAATTAGTCATTAAATATTATATATTGCACAAGGTTTCGCGGAACGAGCAATCTTAATTTTAATAAAATATCATTTTCGGGAAAAAATCTTTCATTCATTTATAATTGAGAAATCGGTTTCTCTTTATTTTTTGATCGCGAAAATATTGAGTTTAAAATAAAATTGAAGAATTTTTCAATAATGGCCATTTATATCTATAACGACGTGAGAGGATAAAGGATTTTGGCGATAATGAAAACATCAAAGGGGATAACCCGACTCATAAAGAACCGCGATACAATCGACATATAATCGACGATTACAATTACGCGGGACACCCTGTGAATAATTTATCCTTCCGCATCGCTTTTATCCGCAGTTTCTACTCTCGCACAGCTCCGATCTTCTCTTCTTACTCCACAACGAACGCCACTTCAGATCCATTGCCCTCCGTCTTTCTTCTCTGCCTTTTTCTTCCCGGTTGCCGCTATCCTCTTCCCCTCTCATCGCGGGTTATTAGTTTCAGTTCGGAACACTGGCGTGTACTCTTGCGAGAGTGGAGAAAAAAATCGGGTCAACCGTGACTCGGCTTCGCTCCTCTCTTTCTCTCCGTCGACGCACGTAGCTCGAAGGATGCAATTACAATACAATTATCCCTCATCCTCCGCCCCCCCCCTCTCTCTTTCTCTCTCTCTCTGTCTCGTCTATTTAGCAGATTTCGAAAGCGCGATTTCTGTTTCGCGAAACTATCCGTATTATGAAAGAATTACATTAGGTGGGGGGAAAGAAGAGGAAGACAGAGAGACAGGAAATGGGGAGTAACAAGGGCCGAGTGCTTGTTCAATCGATTTCCATTTCAATCGATTCGTTAACGGACCTGTTTTCGCGAGCGGAGTCGACTTTAACCGCTGCAATCCTGCTTCTCTTTGTTCTACGAGTTGCCGCGATTGCAAATGGTTATAGCGTGATTTTAACGCGTTTAGGAAAAAAAAGTCGTTAGACAGAGAGATCTCATCGTAAGTTTATTTTCATTTTATTCTGCGCATCTCAACATGATACGCGATTTGTTACTTAATTTCCGTTGGCCTTTACAGGAAGTTGTACAACGATCAATTGGGTTTATGAACTTAACTTTAGCTCTCATCTACTTTTCGAGTACTAATATAATTCCCCTACCTTTTAGAAATATAAATCACGGGTTCACAAATTTCTCGAATAAAATTTTTAATCTCAAGAGAAATTTTTTTCTTCAAGTATACTTGATTAAAACAAGTTATTAATAACGAAAAAACTTTAGATTAATTTCAACAAAATATTTAACATAGCCATTTCCTTTTTATATGATTTATTCTACAAAGATCTCTCACCCATGAAAATGCTGCGCGATCGCAAGCAAGGAAACGTTAATATGTTAATGATAGAGCTTTCAATTATGTCTTGATATGTTGTTAATTCGGACCCAGAAAGACCCGAGGATGGCGATTATAATGGAACGAAAAAGGGTACGAAAGAAATAAAACGTCGGAACCGCAGACTTGTGCGATTTGATAGCCGTATAACTGGCCGGAAATACATTAGAACCGGACGTGGGTCAACTTCCTGTCAAACGCCGACTCTTTTTGCGCCAAGTCTCAGTTTCAGTCTTTCCTCTTTTCATGTTCCTCCTTTTCATGAACAAACCAGACGTGAGTAGCTTAACTCCCTGGTTTTGTTAGCGAAACGTGCATCATTATACCGTTATATAACCCACGGACAGCTATTTCCGATGCACATTAAACGTTCGTATACAGGATGTCCTAAAACTATCGTTGTGATACTTGCGGAACGTATTTCATGAATTTAAAGTTGAACTCTAAGAAAGAAATTTTTCATTTTAAGATTAATTTTTGTATAAATTTAATAATAGTTTTCTTGAGAAAAATTTTTTCTCTAGTTTCTTGAGAAGATTTTTTTAAAATTAAAAACAAAGAGATATTTGCGGACTTATGGTGAGAAAAGAGGGTGATTTATAATTTAAAACATTGATATCACAATAATAGTAATAATATGCAAATGTATATAAATAACAGACGCGAATCCAAAAAGGCAATCTTTAGAGATATTGATGAGGCCCATCGAAAATTAAATCGACAGAGAAATAATCTCGTTCACACGGGAATAATTGTTTTGCCGAATATATGATATAAATTCGCTCACACACGCGCGTGTAAAATGTAACGCAGCGAACCGGAAAATGGTGCCTCGAAAATATTTCGCGAAATATCGCTGCTACCGTCGAAAACGACGGTTGATCGATCACCCACGTAGCGACGGTTCGTAGAGCCGGGATAAATGTTCCATCAAACTCGCTCATAAGCGTTTTTTCGACCGTTTCGCCTGTTGGCCTTGTATATCTCACACCTACCTATGCAAATCTATTCGCGTATCTGAGAATCGAGAATTGCAAAATAATAATGGAGATTAGCGAGGTCAGTCGGAGAGATGATCAGTCCATCTATCGATTTAATTAATTCAAAAGTTATTTTCGTCAATTTTTTAAATAACAAAAAAATCTCTAAAATTATATAAATTTTTAAATGTAATTATTTCAAAATTGTCTTTATTTCTGAGTAATATATTGCATTCAAAAATAGTCTTTATAAAATTATATAAATTTTTAAAAATCTATAAAATTATATAAATTTTTAAATGTAATTATTTCAAAATTGTCTTTGTATCTGGATAATTTACTGGATTCAAAAATAGTCTTTCTATATTTCTCGAAAGAATCGTTCGCTGATTATCATCGTCATTCTGAAAAAGGAAGGTCAGAAATCAGACGTCCGCTAACCTTATCCTTGCGAAGGATAGATCGATCAATTTTGGTTGAAAAGAGCGAAGAATCGAGAACGAACCGAGTCACGCTAGGAAATTCGAGATTCCATCATGCAGGAAGGGTGAAAAAGACTCTTAAAGGAGACTCCGCGTTTTTCAAAGAATTTCCGGCAAGTGTCTTTTGAGCAACGCATACACACGTGCACACATGCACAGAGGCTTTTATCAGATTTATATTTCTTGATAGACAGTGAGAGCTACTCTTTTGGGACTTGCACTATTACATATCCAGAATATTTTAAAAAACAAAGTTCGATATTTTTAAAATACGTCTAATATTCTTGAATATATATGTATCATTGAAAAACGCAGTTTCTTTTTGTCGAGAATTAGTTGAAAAATAAATGTTTTTAATGAAATCCAAATAAATGATGTCGAAGATATTAAATTTAATAATCCTATGTTACGACGTCATTCGCAAATTAAATTGCTGCTCTGAGAGAGAAATTTACTTGAAAAACTAATTGAAAAGAAGGAAAATGAAATCCGCGTAAAACATTTTTATGGAAGAGGAAGTTGATACTTTTAAAATACGTGTTATACTTGAAAATATTATGTATATATATATGTGTGTGTGTGCTGTTGAAAAGCGTGTCTTTCCTATCAGAAATAAAGAATAAACATATTTAATTAACGCAATCTAAATAAACATGGTTGAAGATATTTAATTTAATAATTTTACATCGTGCGATAACAATCAGAAATTAAATTATCGGGGGAAGAGAAAAATTCACTCAAAATTTGTTCGAAAAAAAACGAAAATCTGGGACCGTATTGTCTAGGCAAACACAGATTGGATTCGATTCTGCCTCTTTTTCTGTGAAAATAGTCGGGAATTAAAACGACGCTCCATCCGCTTCTTTTCTAACGCGAGATATTTGTCCGTTTACCTATTCCAGACTGCATATCTAAACGGAAGATAACGGTCGACTGTGTGGTGCATGGTGTACAGGTAGGGTAGACAGGAACACGAATATCATCGCCGTGGCGAGGATTTTGTGAGGCAGCCGGAATAACAAACGATTCCGAGAGCGACTCGCGCGCACGACAAAAGAATATTAATCCCTCGGCGTTGTGTACGTCGTGTTGGTGCGCCGACATTAGCGTATTCGACCTCAAAAGCCGGTGTTGTTTGCCCAACCGAATCATACACAAGTAGTTCCCGAGTTGCATGATTAATGCCTTCCCGAAAGTTGCCGTGAGAAGTGGTGCCGGTCGTGTGCGAGTCAACACGTCACGAATTTAACGACGACGGTGCTATTATTACGAAAAACGAAAATTGTCAGGAATCGAGAAGATTTCTCTCGCGCAAAAATAATTCCTATTAACTAGAACGTTTTTACCATTCCCTTTTTCAGAGACTGGAGAACGAGGTGGAGAGAGGGTAGAAGTGTCAGTCGACCCCGTGCGTGTCTGGTTTGAAGCAAGACTCCAGATTAACCGGACGATAACGCGATGACGTCTCTTTATATCTGGGCTTTTTTTTCGAGACTTTCTTCTCGTCACCGAATTCGTGACCGTCCCTTTGTACCAACGGATATACTCGCGCGCCCTATCTCTCATGAAAGAGTAAAGAAGGGAGGAGGAGGAGGAGGAGCGGCCCGGACAAAGAAACGAGACGGTTCCCAAAGTCAGGGGTCACCTCGGACCAATTTCAGCAATGCCGGGCATTTAAATGGAGCCGGAGTCTGACGTAATCTCCTATCTCTCCTGCTGACGCTCGCATTCCACGAGAGTACCACGATGATCACTTCTCTCTCTTCTCTCCTACGTGTGTTGTACGTCCACGTGCGTGCACGCCAAATGAAAGCGCACTCTATCCTCCTCCTTGGACGACCTAGCCCGCTGCTTCGCTTCCGTTCTCTCCTCCGTTCTGATCCTCTTTCTCCTCTTTCTCCTCTTTCTCTTTCTCCTCCTCCAGAGTTCTCGCTATCGTGCGATTCATCGCACGATCGCGCGCCGTGTGCCACGAAGAAAGGGCGCTTTCACGAACATGAGGAACAACGTCCGCGCTCCCCCTCCCACCCCTCTTCTCCGGTCATAATTCGCCCTGCTGCAGCGCATACGGAAAAGTTGGAGATAAAAGGGAACGACGAGAGGAATCGCATAAATCGCGTTTTACAGAGCGACGCTTGAAGTGACACGAATTTTAATTGGGCTCGGTATGTATCGTATAGTCGACAAAATGTTCAAATGAGCGTTGAATTAAGCGTCGCAGTGAATAAACATCGCGGCAATTTAAAGCGGAGGTACATAATAACTGTTTCACGTCCAGTAATGTTTTAAAATATAAATCAGTATTTTTTTTTTATCGTTACAATCTTTTTTAGAAAGGAGGAGAGGGGGAAAACAAGAAGGGAGAGACGGGACATTTTTTTATATGAATTGTAGTTCTCTGGGCAGAGAAAAATGCAGTAATTCGCGCGTTAAAACGAATTTTAATTGGACTTAACATGTATTTTATGTTGTAGGACACTGAAAAATATTTAAACGACTGTCGCGGTAGATAATTACTGGAAATTAAAAAACGGCCGTGTAATAGCTAACATTAAATAATTTTATGCTTTAACGCATAGATATGTTACAAAGTAAAAGCGTATACATATATTTAAACATATGTATTTAATTATTCTTTTAATTATTGTGTTTCATTTTCATAAAATTTTTTTAAATGTACGTCATCAATTTTATAAATTATTTTTTCTCATGATAATATTATACATGTCTGAAATTTGTGTTTTTTTCTGTTGCAGGTTTAATAACTCATACTTCTCACGCCAGAAAAATATGGGATGCTCAATAATAATAATACACTTTTGAGAAAAACAAACTTTTTTCTATGAAATCTTAGCAAACAGATTAATTTACATTTCTAAACTAATGTTTAAATATTCTACCGATTTATTGAATCGTATACATAAAATTTAAGTTGAATGCTTTTAGGAAGCAGAAGCTTTGAAACGGAAAAAACTTCTTTTCTCTTTTTGTATATTAATTGATTTACTCTGACAATTAACAAAAACTTTTGCTCTCTTTTTATTCATTTTAGGATTCATTGTTGCTGTGCATTACATCGATGGAAAGAAGAAAACGCAAGAAAGAAAAAAACATTGAGCGTTACAGGTGGGCCTGATTCTTTGCTCGGCCCGTAATCTTAATGTTGGATGAGCAAAGTTTCAGGTGTGTTTGTGACGTTACATCGCGGCCTCCTCCTTGAATCCCCCTCTCGCGCCCCCATTTTCCCTCCTCTTGTGAGGAAAATAGAGGAGCAGCTACAATCATAGGACTATTTCTTAACAGTACTCTTACGCCTGAAATTTGCTTTTTTTACCTGGTTTCTATGCTCTCTTACTTTGAGAAAATAAAGGTGAGCAAAGTTTCAGGTGTGTGAGTGCGTTAAATTCATCGTACACATTATATATTCGGCCGTTATATATGCGTTACCATTTAAGCTTGTATTGGATTCACAATGGTTACCAAAGACAATTCGCAACGGTCGCTAATTAAAGTCATTGTAATTTCACAAAAGCGAGAAACAAAATACACGTACATTGAATTTGTTTCACGACAACATGACATCGTTGTTCGATAAATTACTCTGGATATTGTATACGATGTAGCTGCGGGATCAACTGAATTAATTAATTAAATCAAACTTTATCATGCGATAATTAGCTGTTGTTTATTTAGATATTTCCACAACGCTCGTGTTATTGAACATAATGAAGCGTATCAAATTATATAACATACGTTTATATTTTTAAAAAAAGTGTGAAAAATTTATCCGATATAGCTTTTTTATATGTAAACCATATTTAGTGTTGTATTGTATGTGTATATATTAATAAATTAATAAAGAAAATACTATGCGAGTATATGTATAAAAATTGCAATTATTTAATTATTATATTAAAAAATTAATAAAAGTTTATTCCTTTTCGCACGATTTATTATAAAATGTTTTTAAAACGTTCATATCAATTAATAAATGCTAAAATTATATAATAATGTAATAATGAAATAATAATGTGCAATAAAATGTAATAAAACCTGAGACAAATATACGTTAATTGAAATCATTTCTTGTGAAAAAAATTACTTGTTGCAGATTTATATAAAAAATAGAAATATATTAAATTTTAGAATAGTTTCTTGATTAAGAAATAGAAAATTTAAAAATGTTATTAAATATTAAATCATAAAATATCTTACATTTTATATTTCATGTACAAAAATAAATTTATTCATATTCAGTAATCTATTATTGTTGCTTAGCGATAAATTTTATCTTGCCGATAATTAATTATCTTATTTCAATGTTAATTAATAACTAATAATTTTAGCTTATTTAATAGCTTAATTAATAATTTATATATATATATATATATATATATATATATATATATAAACATATAAAGTAAAATTTCATATTAATTCATGAAATGGTATAAAATGAGATGGTATAAAAATATTTTCGCAAAACAAATTAAAAATAAAAAATATCTAACAGATATATTAATTTATTAAGTATATATATGTGTGTGTAATTATATATGTTAAGTTTTCACAGAAAGTACGATACCTGTTTCTTTGCTGTCGCTAAATTTTCATGCAAAGCACAAAATCCTGTCTTTTCCTTTCACTCGAACGTATCACTTTTACATCACTATTACACAAATAATGTACAATAACTATTTTACTGCTGCATGAATGACTTTTAAATTTAACAAAACTATTTGGATTGATACGGATTTGGCGTAACTGATTTAACGCGCGATTTGATCGCGCCATTACATTTATTTGTAATTCATAGCAACTATCAGAATAGCCAACAAAAAATATTACTACAATATTTTTATTTAGACTCTATCACAAAGCGTCATTTGATTGGACAAAAATTGCGTCGTGCGTTGTGTATTGCAACTGTCAAACAAGGCTGTTCCTTAAGTTGACTACCCTGACCGAAATAGATGAAGAGACGCCATCTTTCAATTTATATTATACATTATTTGTATGTAAAGCATATTTAGTATTGTATATTAGTATTGTGTGTATATTAATAAATTAATAAAGAAAATACTATGCGAGTACATGTATAAAAATTTACGGTTATTTAATTGTTGTATTAAAAAACTAATAAAAGATTATTCCTTGTCGCACGATTTACCATAAAATATTTGTAAAACATCATATCGATTAATAAAACTACAGAAATAATATAACAATGTAATAATGAAATAATAATATGCAATAAAATGTAATAAAAAATGAAGCATACGTTAATTAAAACCATGTCCTGTGAAAAAAAAATTACTTGTTGCAGATTTATATAAAAAATTGAAATATATTAAACTTTAGAATAATTTCTTGATTAGGAAATAGAAAATTTAAAATGTTATTAAATATTAAATCATAAAATATCTCATAGTTACATTTTATATTTCATGTACAAAAATAAATTTATTCATATTCAGTAATTTATTATTGCTGCTTAGCGATAAATTGTATCTTCCCAATAATTAACTATCTCATTTCAATGTGTTTCGATGTGTGTTTTATAATTAATAATTTTTTTATATAATATATATATAATATAATATATAAATATATAATATATAATATATAAATATAAATATATTTTTTATATATACAAGTAAATATATGCACATGTAAAAAACAAAAAAAATATCTAACAGAGATATATATATATATATATATATATATATATATATATATATTAATTTATTAAGTATATATATGTGTGTGTAATTTTATATGTTAAGTTTTCACAGAAAGTACGATACCTGTTTCTCTCCTCTCGCTAAATTTTCGTACAAAGCACAAAATCTTGTCTTTTCCTTTCTCTCGAATGTATCACTTTTACATCACTGTTACACAAGTATATAATAACTGTTTCACTATCGCATGAATGATTTTCACATTTAACAAAACTGTTTGCTACGGATTGCTACGGATTTAACGCAACGCGCGATTTGACCGCCACGTTACATTTATTTGTATAATTCAACTATCAGAGGAGCCAACAAAAAAAATATTACAATATTTTTATTTAGACTCTATCACAAAGCGTCATTTGATTGGACAAAATTTGCATCGCGCGTTGCGTATTGCAACTGTCAAACGAGGCTGTTTCTTAGGTTGGCTACCCTGGCCGAAGCAGACGACGAGACGCCATCTTTCACGAGATTCACGGAGGGACGTTCGCTGTCGCATTATTTTATCGAAAATGATCAATCCGATGAGCATGTTTACTCGCCAAGCGGTAAGGAGATTTACGACGAGCGCAATTCGCAGGGGCGGTCATCATGATCCTTACGACGGTATTCCTGGTCATGTAAGTGACAGTTTGTTCAATTACATAACGTTGAAATGTAATTTGAAGTATATATATTATATATATTTTATGTTTGCTGCGTAAATATGTTATAATTATTTTATCTTTTTGTACAGAACATGCCATTTAGCACACAGAACAGGCATAAGTTGTTGCTCTATTTTATGCTCTTCTGCGGCAGTGGATTCTCCATTCCCTTCTTGGTAATCCGTCATCAGTTGTTGAAATGAATTTCTGGTACGTATCAAGAATGTCGCTTCTAGCTCGATACTTTCTTTGATGTATTACATTAAATTTCATTGAGGAATATCATTAAAATCTTTGATGAACACATGAGATTAATATATGTATATGTAATAATAATACTGTTTTCAGGTTATCTGGCTGTGTCGCATTAGTGTAGTACCAATGCTATGAGCATTATTTGGCTATATAAACATTATTACAATAGAAAATGTATGTGTTTATAATAAAAATAATTCTTTAACATATATATGACGTTTGTTAAATTCAAGCTTATTTTAAAAATTGCATTATTTTTATTATAAACTTAATTTTAACAACAGCAATATTAATAATGATAGTAATTCAATTTCTATTACATTACAGATACAAATCATTAGACTTAAGTATTTAATTACATTTGTATTGTGTGCTGCATTATACAAATTTATTTGCATCATTGTTGAAGCATATATAATTGATATAATTTCTAAATAAAAAATTTCTTTATTATAAATCATTTTACTTTAAACTAGTACTTTGAGATTTATTCATTGAATAAATCTCATGACTAAAAATCTTAGACCATAGATCTATGTCTCCAATTTCATCTTTTTTTATATTAGCAAATCTATTGATAATTATAAAGATAATTATACTTTTCCTAAAAAGAAGTTAATGAGTCTTGGTAATAAAAATGATTTATAAATAAATAAATGACAAGAACAAAAAAAAAGGAGTATGTATAAATATCAAAGTTGAATTAACAGTAGTTAACATATTGAAATATTTTATATTTGTATGCTATAATATTTATTTATAACATATGTTCAATACAATAGACATAAATAATGCGTTATTTGATAGGTATAATTAATCCTTAAGAGAGAGAGAAGTAAATCTGTGCATACCGGACGGATATTGTATACTTCTTTTTAGATGTAATTAAAAAAAAGTCTAAAATATTTATACAAACTTATCTCTTAAATTACATAATTCCGCGCTATTTGTAGCGTATGTTTTCTGATACATATCGCGTCTTTTATCATGTATCGAAATCACATTCTGGCAGCCGGGGTCCTTTACGATACGATTGCTTCGAATAATCTGAATAAATTTATCATATATATATAAAAATATATAACATTTATATGAAGTAGAGAGATCAAAAGATTACATTTTTATACATTAATATTTTATATATTGAAAGATGCTTACAGTTGTTGTAATCTTCATGAGATCGATAAGAATCTGGACAAACGATCGGAGTATTCTTTATACGATGCGATCCCCATTCATCTTCATATATCTGCAGTGATCAAAAGCAAAAATTAATCTTAAGCAATAATAATCATCGGTTTTGCTATATAATAAATAAAGGTATTTTTATCAATCACAAATTTATCTCTATATATTCTGCAATTTTACAAACCCGCATCTTTTCATATTTTCCTCTTTCGTTTTGTTTTCGACGTTTTTTATTCAGATAAAACTTTTTCTTTTTTTTCTTAGCTTTGTATTCATTATCCCATTGCTGATCTTGATTTTCACTTACATCTTTAATTAACGATTGCTCCTCTATGGGATCCTGTAAGTTAATAAAAAATCGCTCACTATTATTCTGTCGCAATTTCTTTTTTTAAATCTTACAATTTTACCTCTTGTTCAAATGTGTCTGCCTTAGGTATAATACTAGCTATCTTCTTTATACAGAATTTTTTCTTAGCACAGCAGATTATCCATAGGAATAGCAAGAATATTGATAGCATCACGCTGAGACTTGCCAAAGTTATCATTATAGCGGAAAAAGAACTCCAGAGCTGTAGAAGAGTTACTTATTTATACATATGTATATACAATGCACTTTACATTAATATTCTAAAGTAGTGGCATTGCAAGATATATTAATTTATATTTGGCAAATTGCAATCAGTTGGATGTGTGTACCATATTGTGACAGCCTTTCGTCAATGGATCAGTGCACGTGCGACAAACTCTGGCACCATGATTAGGCTGATACGTACCAGGCGGACATTTTTTACAGTACGATATTCCATCCTCACTATAAGTATCCATATGACAAGGAACTACAAGTACGTTTTTATTTATTTATTTATTTATTTATTTATTTATTTATTTATTTATATAAGCATTTTCTTTTTATAGTTGGATATCATGCGGATATAACATACTGCAATGCGTGCCATGAAGACCGTATCCGGCCGGACAGCTGGAAAACAGGCCGATATTGCTGGTTCTTTCGGCAAATGCATTTGTCCTTCCTCTTTTCCATCTTGCGAATATGGACTTTTCATCGATCGGAACCAATCTCTGCTCATAGTGAGGTAATCTGAAAATAACTATAGTTAAAGAACTCTATAGAAATGCTATTGTCAATTTTAAAGTCGCAACATTCCTCTTTTCTATAAAACGATAAAAATATCTATCAATTATTTTATCTTTTTTATTGGAAGATGTTCAAATAAGATATTTTTTAAAGAAACGGAAAACTTGATTTATGTTTGTATTAAAAAATCGTTTACAAATACATTAGAGAGTTTCAATTAAAATTTTGAATGATACATCAAATTAATTTTCACGTTATAAAAGAAAATAGAGGATATGTTGCGACAAAGTAAAAGGACGCAAGATATCGACTAACTAGTTTTTCCAAGGAAGATTTGTAAATTTTTACTCAGTATCAGCGAGAGTTTGTCCTGAATGCCTTTAAGGCAAATGACATTGCAGCGTTTGGGATCGATCGTCATCAGTTTGACGATATGCGAAGGCAATAATAAAATATTTATTGTAATCTGTAAGAGAGCAATAGCACAATTTAGACTTGAGAGATTCATATTGAATAAATATAATATTCTTATCTTACATAATACGTATATACGTACTTGATTTCGAGAGCAAGATGGTGTCAAGATATAAGCATTGCAAATATCTGCTTCGCATATAATATCATTTAGTTTTACCGGAAGATACGTTACTAATATATCTAAATCCCTTTCGTCGCAGGATCGCGTATAGTAACGACTCTCGCCGTGTACAATGTATCTCGGTAGCGTCACAACTGTAGAAAATTATTTTTTTAATTTGATAAAGTTAATGTAAATTTAGGAAGAAAATTTAATTCGATAAAATAAATTTCGTCCATAATTAATAACTAATAATCTACCTTGCAAACGAACTTCGTAGGTAGTTTCTATAGGCTCTTCAGTCTCGGGACCCACGTACGTCGTGACGCATGTGTAATTTCCCGTATCTTTTGCATTTACATTTCGCAATTCTAAATCACCGTTTTCAGCCACAAAACCTGTAAAGAATTAAGATTTTATAGATACTGTTACATATTTCAAAATATATAATGTCAATACATTTCTTTCAAAGTCAATGTGCAAATGATTTCGAAGCAGATGTGTCATGCTATACCGAAAATTGCGATGCCATCGGTTCTCTTCCACATATAACTCGGTCTGCTAATAGTCGATAGCCAAGTGATACCGTCGCTGTCTTGATTACAAGGTAAATTGAGATTAACACCGGGCAATGAAACAATATCGTGATCTGAAAGAGAAAATTAAATTCTTTCGTAATATTATCAGGAATTTTGATATTTGACAATTGCAAAAAAAATACCATTGCCGAGATCCAAATCGCTCTTAAAGTCATCTTCCAGTTCTTCCAGTTTGATATATTTCTGACCTTTTAATGATTCGGTGTTGTAATGAGGCTGTGAAAATTCTCTAGTTTCTTCCGCGTCGGAATCTATCGAAATCACTATCTTGTCCTGGGTCTCTTTATATATGCTGCAATTGAGCGCCTTAATTTCGTCCAGTGAAAAGCTTACTCTGTTTAATATAGATTTTATGTTTTTAATGACGTCCACGATATCGCAAATACAATTTAAATAATTATGGTTTTTTCCCTCGCGGGACCCGCATATTGATCGATTTTTTTTATCAGAAGTGATATCGTTATTAGTATTATTCATTATTTTCTCATTCTCTTTTTTATTGTTGTTACTTTTCGCTTGAGAATGATGATTCGCGGTCATGCTAATAATTGCTTTGCCCGAATTTTTTTTATTCATGATACAGCTATCTGTGCAACTTTTCGGAGAGTGTGAATTAATATTTTGTGATTTTTGCGATTTTGCAGATTGTTTCTTTTTAGTTTTATCTTTGATATCTTTAATTATCCGATGTTTTGATTCATTCCCATTGACGCTACACAACTTTCGAGTTTTCGCTATTATTGGATCCTCTTTGCTGACCCGCGAGAAACCATCGAGTTTTCTTTTTCCTCCAAAATTCTGTTTATAGCGATTCAATCCGCGCAAATTTTGCGTATTCTCTCTTGTTATATTTTTAAGACCGATTTTTCGCTTCTCGATAGAATCATCATATTTCTTGATTTCTTTATTATAAACGTCTCCTTTGTGGTAATGTATATTACGTTTTGTTTTTCCGTCGATATTTATTTCATTTTTTAAGACAACATAGAGACACGTTGTTCTAGAAACGGATACATCGATAGCTTTGCTTGTATCAGTTGGAATACTCAATACACCTGACGGTTCTGTAACGTCGAGTTCCCAAAATCTAGTGCCACCCAGATGATATGTCGTACTTTTTTCCGTAGGCCACATTTGATCCAATAATATTGTTTTATTTTTCATCTTGCTTTCATCATCATCTCTATCTAAAAATTTATCGTCACGTATCGGTATTGATGTTGTATGTTCTTCATAATTCATGTAATCTACAATACAATTATTAAAATTGTTAAAAAGGAAAAAAAATGTTTTTAATATAATAATATAATAATATCTGAATATGAAGATAATATAAGTTATAATTTCATAATAAACTATATGCAAATATATTATAACAAATAAAAATAAATAAATCTATACGAATGAAAGATATTTGAAAGAATAAGATCCTTTTTGTTATACTTTCTAATATATCCTCGAAAGAATCATCTTCTTCCTCCTGTCGATCATTTTCTTCTTGTAGATCATTCTTTTCTTCAAGTTCGTGGTACGGTGTTGTAATTTTTTCATCTCCAAATTTATTAACAGTATTGTCGTCATTTGATTCAGACATAATTACTGTTAACTCATTTTCACTTGGATTAGCAGATATTACTTCGTATGTTTCTTTGTCTTTATTATAACTGAGATGTAATACATTCACCGTGTAAGACTCATTTTCTTTTTCATCTAAATTCTTTTCCTCTGTTATTGTACTCGTAACTTTTTGGCTCGAAATATTAGCTCTATTTTCTCTCGCCCAAGACCGAATGTTTTTCTCTGTCGACAAAACATTTCTTTTCTCAATACATTTGTCATTATTCGAAAAATTATTTCTCCTTGCAAGAATTAAATAATGATCGAAGAAGGCGTTTCTTTTTTTATATTTCTTATTATTTAACACAAACGTTCCCGTTGACTGAAAGAGACTTTCATAGGGATAATAATGTTGTTCGTATAGAGGAATTTTACTTCGAAAATTATGGATAGAATTTTCTTGCACATTGATACCGGTAGAAATCTTTTTTAAAAAAGATTTTCCCTTTCTTTCATAGATCCTAGTGAAGCCTTTAAAATGTCGCATTGGTTTCGTGGTTTCGTTACTCAGCCATTCATGATACGATAATTGCAAATTGTCAATTTTGCGTGTCGTTTCTATCACTCTTCTTGTTCCTCTATATCGAAAATTTGGAAATTTTAATTCTTTATTTTCCTTCGTATTTGAAAATGAAAAAAGCTTTCTGTTTAAACGACCGACTGACTTTTGCTTTCTCTTTCTTTCAGGTAAATATGGCAGACACATCTTCTTAATAACAAAAGGAATTGTCGTATTTTCCAAGACATTGAGACATATTTTTTTCGTCACAATCTCTTCTACCTGTGTTGTTGTCTTTCCGGGAACATGTCTTGTTCGCTCTTTTTCTTCAATATCTGTTACTCTTGTAGTCTCATGTTGAGAAGTTGCCATCTTTGTAGTAGTTTGATTTTCTTTCCTCTCAATTATCTTTTTAATCGTTGTTACTTGGGTCTTTACAGTAGTCTTTTCAGTCGGTGGCACAGGTGTTGATAAACTCGACGTAGTCAATGTATGCATTACTTCTTTCTCGATTTCTTTCATGTACAATTCGAATTCTATTATATTTTTCTTTAATCTTTCCTCTTTTTCCAGCAATATTTTTTCTCTCTCCTTCAATTCGCGTTCTTTCTCGCGCAATTTTTCTTTCAGGCTTTCTATCTCTTCATCATATTCTATCTCCATGATTGTGCTAATAGCTAAAGCTGTAGTTGTGTTAATAAACTCTGATGCTGATGAAGTGAACAACTCACTGTAAACGTCTATTATTTCTTGCGTATACGAAATAGGAGTTGTAACTGGTATAGGTAAAATAGTGATACCAATAGCTGTTGTAATTCGACCAGTTAACGTCATTGTAGGCGAAATGAATGGAAATTCACTACAAAGGGTTACGCAACTCGTAATATATCTTTCTTTTGTAGGAGTTGGGATCGGTATTGAAGTTGTGCCAATTTCATATGAACTGATTCTAAACGTAGCAGTAGATAAAGTAATGAATTCGTCAGTAACCAAAGTAATCGGGCTGGTGAACACCATTGTAGACGTGGTAAATAAAGGTTCACTCAGGTAAATAGTTCCATAACTCGTCGTATATATTTCTTCGATAGTGTAAGGAGTGGTGGTTTCGATGGAAACTAAACTGATGTTGTATATGTCTACAATAGATGCAGTGATGTATGACGTCGGAATTATATAATTTGTAACATATATTTCTTCTATTTCTTTTGTAACGTAAGTTACAGAGGTACTTTCCTCCGTAGTATAAAGTATAGCCGTTTCTGTTACTTCAACAATATATGTTGAAAATATTTCTTGTGTAGTTACCTCCTTCGTCTTTTCTGTAAAGTATGTCGCAAATATACCTTCCTCTGTTTCCGTTGAAGTTGTAGCAATTTCAGCCAAGCTTGACGTATCGAAGACAAGAGACGTGACTTTAATCTTTGCAGTAGAAGCAACAGTTAAATTTTCTGTACTGACAATCTCAACAGGAACTGTGCTTGTTTCATAGCTCGCAGTTGTATCAGTTATTATTGTAATATTCTTTGCTTTTTCCTTTTCACGCTGCATCATTTCCTCATGTTTCTTCTCTTCCCATTTTCGTTCTTTCTCCTTTAGCCTTTCCTCTCTCTCCATCACTTCTCTCTCACGCTGTTCGAGATCATCGAGTAGTTGCTGTAACTGTCTCTTTTCTTCTTCTCGTCCAATCGTAGTTTTCCTCATTGTAATAAGTTCGGTTTCAATTTCTGGGGTAATAAACATTGTGGTATACGAAGCAATCTCTTCTTTGGTAATTAACACAGTCGTCGTCGCCAAAGTGGTTACTTCGTAAGCGATTTCGATAGCGGTTTCCATCTCTGAGAACGCGATGCTCGCGGTTGTTACTCCAATAGCTTCTCTCTCCGACAATGTCGTCAATGTTGATGACACAAAAAAGGAAATTAACTTCTCCTCGATAAATTCAGTCTCCGTAAAAATTCGTTCGGAGGTTGAAGTCTTCTCTAATTCAATCTCCGAAATTTCTTCGGGTTTCGTGAATTTTGGCGCGTACCATATCTCCGTCAAAAATTTTGATGTAGATTCCGTATATTTGGCAGGAATCGTCAGATATTCAAGCGGTTTCGTGATAATTTCAAAGGCTGTCGAGGGAAGAAGAGTGTATTCTTCGGTAGAGCCGAAAGTTAATGCGATTGTCGTCGATTCTTCCTCTTTACTCGTAATGGATGTTATAAATTCGGTTTCTACTTCAATCGTCGTTCTATTCTCAATAACAGTCATTGTAGATGTTTCTAGAGCAGAAGTAAATTCTTCAATATAAGGTATTTTCGAGGTATAAAACGATAGAATCATAGAAGTTGTCGAATACATTGTAAATTCTAAAGTTTTCGTTTCGTACGAAGATGTTGTGCCTTCAAGAAAAAACGGACTCGTCTCTTTGAACAATTTTGTATATTTTATTGTGCTCGATGCCATAGTCGTCTTACTCTTCGTCGTAGTTTCGTACTCTTCATAATAATACCATTTATCAGTTGGTATTTCATATTCCTCATATTCTTCATATTCTTCTTCGTAGAACGGTTCCTTTGCTACATAATATTCTGTTTCGGCTTCTGGCATTTCTTTAGTCGCTGCTACAGTTGAAACAGTTGTTCTTTCGATAGACAATGCTGTAAAAGTCTCTAAAGTGTACGTTATCAATGGACTTGTTAATGTCGTCGTCAATTCTCTTCCCTCCGATACAGTCTTTGGCAATACAGACATAGCTTCCGATGTAGTAGCAGGCGTTTCCGAGGTGATTAATATTGATGGAGTAAATTCGGACGGTGGAGTAAAAGTCATTTCAGTTTTTAAAAGTGTTGTCTGCTCTAGTTCTTCAGTAATTGATAAGAATGTGCCAGTTGTTGTCAAACTTGTAGTCTCTGTGGTAGCTTCTGATAAAAGCGAAACAGTCGTCATGACTATCGGTGCCAAGCTAGTATTCGCGATACTTGTTTCTATTGCAGATATTGTACTTTTTTCCATCAAAGTGATTTTGGTAGGTATTGATATTTCTACAGTTGTAGAAATAACATCAGTAATCTCTTCAATCAAGGAAGATTCTTCAATTATTGTAGTAAAACTAACAGCGGTGACTTCTTTGATCGTTGAAATTTCTTCACTGCTTGTAGGAGTAACCGTTTCTATTACGAATAAGGTTGTTTCTGTGGTGGTTTCGATAAAAAACATCGTGGTCGATAATGGCAGATACGTCATTAGAGTTGTCGCTTTCATGATAGTGGTTCTTTCCGTAGTGATCCAAGTTGTACGTTCTTCCGTTATTAATTCAATTAAGCTCGTTGTGGAAACTATTTCAGTTAACGATACAGTTGTAAAAGCTGTACTTTCGATCATTTCTGTCGACAATGTGCTAAAAGTTATTTCGCTCAGCGTTGTATTTGTCTTCACAGTTGATGGAATTAATGTTGTAGTTTCAAACGGAGATGTTGTAGTAACAGGAGTCATCGAAAGAGTTGTGGTCTCGATTATTGCTGTTTTAAACGTGGTAAAAATTGTGGTGAAAAATGTCCTATTTATTGCGACACTTGTGTTCAAGAACGACGAAGTAGTTATTAATGTAGATAGTGTAGGCAATATTTTAGTCGTAGATATTGTAGCCGATGTCATCGAAAAAGTTGTAGTTGAAGTCTCGATCTCTTCTGTCAAAAAGGTAGTGGAAATCGTGCACGGCGTTTCGCTTAACGTTGTATTCGTAACCAAGGATAATAGCGTTGTCGTCGTTAATTTCACTGATGTAATTGGAACTGTGGTTTTAACAGAAGCTGTTGTAGGTACTATCGTGGTTAGAAAGGTGCTAGAAATCGTAGTATTTGGCGTTTCTCTCAATGTTATATTCGCAATCGTTGTTGTCGTCATTAATTTCAATGATGTAATTGGAATTGTGGTTTTAACAGTAGGTCGTTTTGTCGTTATCAATAACGTAGTTAAGACTGTCTTAATTGTAGTTACTGAAACAGGTATTACCGAAGACGTTGAAGTGCTCTCAATTGTTTCGGTGATTGTTAAAGTTTCAATAGTCGTTGGAATTTCGGTGGTTGTTGGAATTAATGTTGAGATTCCGATAGTCGTTGGAGGTTTAGTGATTGTTCGATTTTCAATAGGCAAAGAACCGGTAATTGTTAAAATTTCAGAAGGCGTTAGAAATTTTGTAACTGTAGTTTCTATAGTTGTTAGAAGAGTGCTCGTTGTAGATGAAACTTCGATTGTTGGAGTTGTGCTGGACATTGAAGTTTCGCTAATCATTTCAGTAGTCATTACAGTTCCAATAGTTGTCGGGGTCTCTGTAGTTGTCGTTTCTTCCGCTGTTATAGTTTTTTCAATCTGTGTCACCGGACTTTCTTCTTCTTCCGGTGTTAAAGTAGTTATTTTCTCTGTCGTACTTAAAATCGTTTCCGTTCTTTCCAAAGTCGTAGGCGAGCTTGTGGTCGTGGTAATTATAATTTTACTAGTGGT